TGTCAAAATATTGGACATATGCTACTGTTGAATTGTTTGGGGTCAGTAAGAATTTTATTTATTTATTTTTTTTTAAGAAGATGAAGAAATTATTTATTATATTCAGAAAGAATGCAATTAATCATTTAAAAGTGACAGTAAATTAAAATATTTTTGGAAAAAAATTGTTAATAATAAAAAAAAAAGTTATTTGAGCACCAAATCAGCATATTATGTTACGTCCACATTAATCCGGATAAATTTGAAAAGGCATTTTTCTCTGCTTTTAGGATTTCATCCACATTGAGGTACTGTTTTTGTCCAGTGAAAACTGAGCCTTTTGAAGCTTTCCCAAGTGGATACATTTAAAAACGGCATTTTCATGTTGTAGTGTGTGCTGTGAAAATGGAGGTATTCAAAAACTATGATGACAGAGGTACTCAGCAACAATGTTTAGTCATGTGACACAGATTTTACCATATATATATGGCTGTACCAACATTGTTGTTCCTGCTATTCACTTTAATAATGTTACTAAAGATACATTTTACTTTGTACGATCATCATATTTTAATCCTTCTAAGATGACAGAATATGTATTCGCAATTGCTGTCCTGTGGCAAAATATGATGACAGTTGCATTTTAGACCAAATATGGAATAATGATTTATAATGGGACCTGGACCTACCAGTGCTGGATGATTGTGAATAAAAAAAATTATTGTGCCAGAAGAATAGTGTGAGAACTTGTGGATGGCAATCGTTACAGATGGTTTAGAAATTAAAACACTGTTTTTAAATATATCTGGATTAATATGGATGTAGCCTTAGAATGAAGGATCATGTGACACTGAAGACTGGAGTAATGGCTGTTGGAAATTCAGCTTTCTCATCATAGGAATGAAATACATTTTAAAATATATTAAAATAGAAAACCGTTCTATTAAATTCTAATAACATTTCAAAATATTACTATTTTTACTGCATTTTTGATCAAATAAATGCAGTCTTGATATTCTTTCAAAAACATGAAAAAATCTTACAAACTTTTGAATAATAGTGTATTGGACAAAACATACAATAAAAATATACAATAAAACTAGTTTAACACAATAAAATAACTTTAAAGCGCAAATTTTGTCTTTGAAGTTATTTTATTGTTTGAATTAAGGGTTTGGCATGTTCATCTTTTTGGTCACGATTAAATGGAGGTAGATTCAAACAACCAGGGCACATTCATCTGCATCCAGTCAGGAACTGCTTCTGCTCAACATCCTTCTCCATCTCACAGCTCATCTAACACAGACCTTCATTGTTGGTAACCACACACATACTGTAGTTGATAGAACAGTAAATCTCCCAGAAGGTGGTAGGACAGGTAGGATCATGACTGGTTCAGAGTAGAGGTCTGAACGGGCTTTAAACTGAAGCCCGAACCCGACCCGTACCCGAGATCTTCTGACCCGACCCGACCTGAGCGGCACAGTTAAATTTAGAGCCATTTTTTTCCACAACGAATACCCAATTAAAAAAAAATGCTGTATTTCACGATTGCATGCAATGGTCAGTAAACAAATACATGTAAAGAAACAGAATCATTAAGGCTTGGCCAGTTCACAAGGCAAAAGAAAAAACACTTACCAGTTATGAAAGTTTATGAACATCAGGTGCAGCAGTCACATAAATTCTGCCGAGTTTTTGAATGGTTGTATACGACAAGACGATAATTCTTCCATCGCGCAAATTATCGTCTTTTTCGTCAGTTAAGGCTTGTTAGCATTTGGCCTGCTTCAAATCAGACACAGAGATGCAGTGCGGTAAGATTGTATTTATTTGAATGAATTAATTATATAATTTATTTGAATTAGCGAGAGAGAGAGAGAGAGAGAGAGAGAGAGGGATGAAAGTTGCATGTGTGAACCTGCGTCTGCTCGCCTCTCTCTACAAGCAATGAGGCTTAGTTACTTCAAAAACAATGATTTTACCCCCTCATTGCAGAGAAATATAAAATTGCGAGTCAGTAGCCTGTCGAAGCTATTTTACTAATAAAAGTTAGCAAAAAGCGTAGCCTATATAGTTTTTGTTTAGCTATAAACCCGAGCCCGACCTGAATCCGAAGCTATTCATTAAACATTAACCCGAACCCGACCCGAAAGTATTTCGGGACCCGTCGGGCTCGGGTCGGGTAGCTGACTTCTAGTTCAGAGGTGTTCAGGTGCTCTTATCTCTGACTGCGTTGTCAGACACTAACTCAGGTTTGACAAGCTTTGCATGTGTTTGTGTAAGCCAGTGTTTCCCAACCTTTTTTTAGTCGCGGCACCCTTTGGAAATTTTAACAAACTTGTGACACCCTACAAAATTAATTTTGTCACAATATTTGAATTTCTAACTTCGATATGATAATTTGGAAAGTATAGATATTTGGTACAACAGGGAAGAACTGCAGAATATAATGTCATACATGGATATTTTTAATATTATTAAAACATTTTTTCCATCAATGGTGGCAATCAGTAGGCTAATTTCTATTGAAGAGACCAATTTATATGACAGATTTGAATGTAGGCTTTTATACATATGTAAACATTATTTCATTACCATTATAACTAGCTATCTCACAAATTTTTGCTCACTCAGCGTTTTTTTCTTTTACAGTGGGGTAATTTTGGTGTTTGAATTGAATAAAAAAAGTAAGCAGTCAGTAATAAAATAAGAACAAATAAAGAAATTAATAATGATAGCACAAATAAAAAATAATGACAGGCCTTCGAATTAAATAAACTGCTTTTTAGTTTTTCAGGTAGGTCTAACAGTAGGGTTAAGATATTTAAATTATTATTATTTTTTTTTACCAGTTATCCAAATAATGTTTAGTCCTAGAAAGCTATTATTATCAGAACATGTGAGCATAACTTAGCGGTAAACAGATCAATGAATGAGAGGGCAGCGTTACCAGAGTTACCCATATTGCCGCGGCACCCCGGTTGGGAAACACTGGTGTAAGCAGTGAACTTATAAGTAGAAAGTACGTGAATCTGCTCAAATTTGATTGGGCAGATCGTGGATTACAGGTTTTTGCATCCCATCTGTGCCATTATTATTATATATACAGTATATATATCCTATATATCCTATTTACACATGCAGTCTGATGTTTTTCAGCATCTTACATCATGAATGCGACAGTTTTAAAAGTAGTTCAACTTTGAAAATCACTGCTGTGTCACATGGTCCATGTTTACACTACAGTCCAAAATTACTCCTAAGTTGCATCCTTTTATAAAGATGGTAATCAGCTACATTGTTTTGATAGTATTACATTTTTTAGATTTGGAATATATTTCAGTATGGTATTGCTGTAGAAATGTACCAAATTGCTGTTTTATTCAGTTTTTTTTTTCAGTTTTGTATTAGGTTTTGAACTTGGGTTTAACAGTTTTGAAAAGAGTTATGTAAGCATGTGTAAACTGGCCTGTAGGTACATAGAGTTTTGGTGGTGGTTGTGTCTAAGTGAGAAAAAAATGTAGTCATTGAATGTAACTTGTGCCAAAGCAATGGAAAATCATCCACAGTTTCACCCACATAGACTGCTGTTGTGCTCACTGTATGAAGAGTTTTGAAAAAGTGGCCTGCGTATTGACAAATAGGTCCTAGCAAAAAAAAAAAAGTGTTATGTTAAATTGACAGTTCTAAACAATTTTTAATTTCTGTCTAACTGTTCAATCTCAAATCTGAAACCACATAAAGCTCCTTAAAATGCTCTCCAATTTGACATTTTTACTCAATATTAATGCAAAAATGTAAATAGATCAACCAACAAACAAATAATAATAATTGTGTCCTTTAGGACCAATTTAATAATCATTTATAACATGTATTTACAATTTATTAATAAATTAGGGTTATCATTTCTTCATTAATTTCTATGTCATTCAAAGTATACTGTTAAAAATTGTTTTTACAAAAATTTTTTATTTAATGATAAAATCATGCAAATATTTGTTTTGGTTGTGCATAAATGTGTTTTATATGTTATTACTGTATGAATTCAAATGGACTGTGTTATCTAAGCTATAGCAGATACAGAAATATAATATCAACTGCTCTTTCCAGTGTAAGACAAGCAGGGCCCTGACACTCACATGAATAAATCAGCAAGTGCAAGTGAAGGATAAAAGCTTAATAAAACACTCACAAACTGGCTTTCCCTGACACCCCAACTCCATTTGGGCCAATTCATTCAAGTTCTTCATGTCCTTTGGGTGATCTCAGCCACACCAGGCAGCACTAGGGAAAGCTTCACCTCAATGTGGCAGTCCTCAAGGTTACAGATCCCAGAGAGACTGACACCAGCATTAATGGCTGCACTATTACACAGACCTTTCTCATCCCTCGACCTCCTTATTCATGCTCTAATCTCTCGCTCTGCAGCGCAACCAGTGCTTGTAAATAATCATCAGGGACAACCAACGCAGACATGACAGCACAACGCATGGAGACCCACGGATGTCTACGTTGAGCTCATATGGGAAACTTTTTTGCAGTGACTTAAGTGAAAAAACCTTTGTATGAAGATTAAATTCGCACTGGATGCTTTGGTGTCATTTGGTAATTACACTGTAACTACACTGTAAGTGCACATATTGTCAAATAAAATACAACCAATAAATTGTAATGCTGTCTGGATGCTACAATGCCTTGTATTTAATGTACTTAATGTATACATGTATCCTAGCTAATGTTTTTCCTAGTATTATAAATTTCCTGGCAAAGGCTAAAGAATATTCTAAAGAAAATTTGATTCAACAAATGTATAAAATTAAAAAAAAAAGAAAAAAAAAAGACCTTGTCCACTTTTAGGAGTAGGCTACACTAGCAAATAGATGGCTTAAAATATAACAAATATGAACTAAAAGTTTCATTTTGATTTCATAAGATCTTGAAGTGCACAAGAGGCAAAGTCAATGTTGATTTTATGATGGACCTTACAAAGTAATGAAGTAGTAATTCCACATCTTTACCTGCCACAGGTTCTTTGGTGGGGTACATTTTGTTGTCGACTGTCATGCTGATGTCACAGAAGACTTCCTCTTCATCTCGATCTGCATCAAGCTGTATAAACAAGAGAACACTTGTGTCAGGCTTCACGATGCCATAGAAGAACCCTTTTGTCTAAATGGTTCCATAAAGAACCTTTAACATCTGAAGAACCTTTCTGTTTCACAAATGGTTCTTTGTGGCGAAATAAGGTTCTTCAGATTATAAAAAGGTAAGAAAGAGATGGTTCTTTAAAGAACCTTTGACTGAATGGTTCTTTGTGGAACCAAAAATGGTTCTTCTATGGCATCGCTTGAAGAACCTTTTGAAGCACCTTTATTTTTAAGAGTGTACATGGGGGAAAAAAACAGTTTGGCCCTAAATACATTTTACTATATCAAATATTGTTCTGTTTCGATTCATTTTAAATGTGCTTTTGATTTTAATAAGTAATAATAAAGATGTTTTAATATATATTATGTTCAATGTCCTGTCAGCACATCTGTGCATGAGTGGCCTTCGCCATGTTCACCTGAATACTTAATCAAGGAATGAGGGTTTATGAGGACTGCTGGTAAAGAATAAGAGTTGAAGTTGTATTCAAATGTCTGTTTAGTGTTGTCTGTGCTGTTATTGTTCCTTCTAACTAAACATTGCTCATACTCAATATTTCACCCGTACTGAACAATCGGGAACGGAATTCAATAAAAGATGTCCATCCTATTGAAAAACGTAAATATTAAACATGGAAAAAATCTGGTTAAAGATTGGTTGAAGACTGCAGTTGAAAACGTTCATCTAATACATCTAAAACATATATAAATAAATCAATTTTGTGCAGCCACTTATCATATATATATACAGTCGTGGTCAGAATTATTGGCACCCTTGGAACATATGATCAAAGAAGGCTGTGAAAATAAATCTGCATTGTTAATCATTTTGATCTTTTATTAAAAAAAATTCACATAAATCTAACCTTTCATTGGAGAATAAGAATTTTAAATGGGGGGAAATATCATTATGACATAAATGTTTTTCTCTAATACACATTGGATACAATTAACATCACCCTTTTATTCAATGCTTTTTGAAACCTCCATTTGGCATAGTAACAGCTCTGAGTTTTCTCCTATAATGCCTGATGAGGTTAGAGAGCACCTGACAAGAGATCAAAACACATCTATTTTTATCTATCTCTTTCTATTTTTAGATGAACGGTCTGAAATGTAGCATCATTTAGTTTTCTACCTTGCAAAAGTACTGTGACTCTGTAGTATGTTAGTGATTATTACTATATTTAAATACCATGGTATTTATCTGGTACTTCAAGATATTTTTCAGCACTTAAGCGTTAGAACAAGCATTGCATTTTTTTCTTCATTCCTATGCATGCACTAGAAGTCAGATTGGAACAATTTTACTCTAATTTTGCATCATGAAATCTAAAATTGGGCCACAATTCTATTCAATCTAATCTGATTCCATTATTTTGTAATGATTTATTATTATTTCCAAAAATATGCTTAAGACATAAATCTAACTAGAGGCAACACAGTCACTATAACAAGATTGTCTTAAGAACAAGTTTGACTAACTAAGAGCTAACAAAAAGGTAATCAGTCATACTTTTCCGATTCAAATTAGACCAATCTACCTTCTTGTAATTGACTTAAATGACCAGTCTTGAAAAAAAGGACAACATCTATAGCATTCAATTATTAACACACTGAATTTTCATTATCATTTGTGCATTTTTTATATTGCAACAGTGTCAGAATTAACTCTCATTTAAAGGGGTCATATGACGTTGCTAAAAATAACATTATTTTGTGTATTTGGTGTAATGAAACGTGTTTATGCAGTTTAAGGTTAAAAAAACACATTATTTTCCACATACTGTACATTATTGTTGTTCCACAATGCCCCGCCTTTCTGAAACGTGTCGATTTTTACAAAGCTCATCGGTCTAAAAAAGTGAGGTATACGCTGATTGGCCAGCTATCTAGTGCGTTGTGATTGGCCGAAATGCCTCAAGCGTGTGACGGAAATGTTACGCCCCTCATATACTGTGATGCTGTGTCTCCCGGCACGATGAGACAAAACCAATAAAACCCATTACAAACGAGGCATTTGTTGCATCCAGTGGGGCAGCCTGGTCTCATGTTTATACAATCTACACTGCTCAAACTCACGTTTGAATCATCAGTGGCAAATTCTTTAAATATAAAAAATGTACTTACAGGCTGTGAGTCAGAAGCGCCAGACTGTCCTTGCAAAGTTTGAACTGCCCCACTTTATAGAACAGCCTTTGAGCACAGACCCATTGTAGGCTACTCTGCAGGTTCAGGAAACAGTCCTCCATAAAATGCGTCACACAGCGTCAGGTCGGTGGGTTTGTGGCAACCACATGTGACGACCCCGGGCTGGACTCCGCTTCGTCCACGGTGAAAGCCGATCCAGCGATCCACAGCGTGAAGTTGATGTATTTCCTCAGCGACCAGCACGGATCAGCTCTAGGCATGACGAAGCGGATATCGTCCTCTTTTGGAAGACCAAACAAAGTAGCTTCGCTTTCACAACGAAACACACAGCATCTCCACAACATGGCGGCGGCGGCAACAATACTACAGCGAGAATCAAAGTTACGCCTTCTTTCTTTGTGTGAACATTTGGGTGGCGTTATGCAAATCTTCCCACACAGTGACGTAGAGGTGTTTTAGGAGGGCGTGGACAAGTCTTAACTTTTATAAAGAATATTTCTTTGGATTTGAGACTTTAGTCTTTGCAATTTTACAGATCTTCTTTATGGTGCATAAAAAAGAGCTTGGAAAAATGTAAATCGCATCATATGACCCCTTTAAGCTGTTCTTAGGTTCCTACCCAACTCTCCAGATATTCATTATTCTTCTTGGATGGGTTTTGCATTCAACCCTGCATAGTGTGCAGCTCAACAAAACAAATGATATATCTTTGATATAGGTCAGCCTAATGGTGATTGTAGCCATTCTCTTGTTTGGTTTCTTAGTAAAAAAAGACATAAATGGCTAAATGCAATTGAAACACATGTGTCAACAATGCTTAGTGAGAGAGAAATCCCATTTCAGAGTGCTAAAGCAGTGCAGGGTATTCATTTTCTAAGGTCTGCCTGTGGGGGTTCCTTGCAACAGTGTCAAATACATCTCTTGAGGTCTGAGCTTAATATTTCAGAATCAGAATCAGAATGAGTTTTTATTGCAATTTTATTATTTTATTGGAATTTGTTTTCATGACAGAAGCTCCACAGTGTAACAGAATGACAGTGACAGAACAAAAACACAGATAATAAAAAATAGAAAAATAGAACAAGTAACTAAGGAATAAAAATATACAAATCGACAATTGTATGTACAGGTATATAACAATAGACAGTTGTATGTACAGGTATATTATGTGCAAATTGAAATGTAGACTGAGTATGAGTGTTAGATAAATAAGGGTATGAGTGAATAAATAGTGTGTGTTCCACAGTTATTGTCAAGTGTTCATGAGATGGATGGCCTGAGGGAAAAAACTGTTCCTGTGTCTGGTCGTTCTGGTGCTCAGAGCTCTGGAGCGTCGACCAGATGGCAACAGTTCAAAGAGGGAGTGAGCACACAGATTAAAATTTATTGTGATGAATATTAAAATTTATAGTACTGTATTTTTATATGATTTATAATTAAATATAATAATTACAATTTATAAAAAACATTTGGTAACACTTTATTTGAAGGGGTGTGCATAAGACTGACATGACACCTTCATAATCATGACATGAGGCATGTCATGAATATGAAGGAGGTTTTATGCATGTTTATGACAACTGTCATTAAGTGTCATTCGCTCAGTTATGTCATTTTTAATGCAAATATGACATTATTTGACCTAACCCTACCCTAACCCTACCCCTACCCTTACCCCTAACCATAGCTCATAACAAAGACATCTCAAACAATGTCATATTTGCATTAAAAATTACATAACTGAGCGAATGACACTTAATGACAGTTGTCATAAACATGCATAAAAACCTTCATATTCATGACATGTGTCATGCCATGATTATGTAGTTGTCATGTTATGATTATGAAGGTGTCATGTCAGTCTTATGCACACCCCTTCAAGTAAAGTGTAACCAAACATTTTAATTTATAATAATTTACATGTAATATATTATATATTCAAAACAGAAGCCCTAGAACTTGATATCATGTTACCCATATTTATTGTAGAAGTACTATATCTAGTGTGCCCCTCTAGACAAATGAGTCTAGAAATAGCTGTTGAGATAACAAAAGTTATGATGCTCATAAATTCATAAAAAAATATACATAACTCTGGGGACTTTCAGGGGCAAATGTTATACTCCACCATTAATCTTGCATACACTCAAGCAGCAACATAAGTATATCAAAATTCAGTCTATCAAAATAATTAGTAAATTCACTTTTACTAAAATTAACAACTCTGAAATTACCACAGCTTTCGTTCAGAGGTCATTTCAGAGTGGGGTTAAAAGGCTCTGACTTTTAAGAAAGGACATCAAACCCCATGCGGCGACACCAAAGAGACTCGCTGCCAAAGCATTATAGATAGTTAATTAAATGGGTCTATTTTTTTGCTATGAAGGGATGAACTTCAATCAAAGCTCCACAATCAATCATCACTCTCTCGCTTTTCAGTTACACTTAAAAAGGTTAGAGCAGAGCCCGTCATCAAAGCGTTCTGCTGGAACTGCTCATATATGAGATCCAAGGCCCAGGAAACAAACAATATTATTGCAGTTTGATTCTAAATTTGTGTGTGATACTTATTTTTTTTTATCTCTAACGCATGTACGTCAGGGCTGTGTAATTACTGACCTCAAATGACATCAATTAAAATTTGTTGCAGTACAAAGGCCAGATGCTGAGCAAGATATTGAGGACATTTCCGGTCGCTGGGGTTTGTTTGTCAGGTCCAGTTATTGATTTTTGGCAGAACTGAAAGGAAACTGCCTATAAATGATTTTGAAAATGTTTTACTGTACGACTCATTTGAGACACTTCATGTGAAACTCCATTT